CGCTTTCAACTTTTACTCGCCAATGTCTGTTACCCAAGCTCTTTGTTCAATCCAAAAGAAATGCCAAGCAAGATGTCGTCGTCATGCAGGATGGTTTGTTTTTCCCCTCATTTTTCAATTCTATTAATCGTGATCTCTCTTTTATTATATTTTTTTTTTTACTGTAATGGTCGATTTGTATTGCTCCGATTGTGCATGCCTATAGATTCGTAATTTTCTTTTCGTGTAATTTGGATTCATTCAACAAGTCAGTTATTCAATTTTCATTCAGTGTCGTCTACTTACTGTTCCCTGCAATCAATCTAGAGCTAAACTACTTCTCCTTGATGATAATCTTTTTGTGATATTCTCACTTTTTGCTCCCAAATGAATGTTAATTATGTTTAGGATCGGTGTCCACGACGGTAATCCCCATTGCAAATGAAAATCCTCTTAAAAAATCAACTAACGGGCTGTTACCAGTTACACCTCCTGAGGAGTGTAAGGATGGAGGGGGTTTTGATATCAGTAGAGGCGAGTCCACTGTCAGTATTACTGTTGTTGGGGCTTCTGGTGACCTTGCGAAGAAGAAGATATTTCCTGCACTTTTTGCATTGTACTATGAGGACTGCCTTCCCAATGTATTCTTCTTTTCTTTTTCGAATTTTTATTTCTTACTACACAAATTGATATAGGTTTCTTTATCAGAATGTAATTTGTTCGGGAAATATCAATTTATTTGGTTGTAGCACTTCACGGTTTATGGTTATGCTCGGAGTAAGATGACTGATGCGGAGCTTAGAAACATGGTCAGCAAAACCCTTACATGCAGAATTGATAAGAGGTGAATCGAATGCTTTTCTTTTGTCATAGCTTCAAGTCTTTCTAGAGGAAAATGTCAATGTCAATGGTTGCCTTGATGTTTAAATTTACTTTTTTTTAGCTGCATTGTATCCTGGTTTTTTGTTTGTTATGGAAGATTCGGGTTGATTAGGATATAATATACGTTTTTCATGTGGGATTTCAGAGAGAACTGTGGTGAAAAGATAGAGCAATTTCTCAGTAGATGTTTCTACCATTCTGGTCAGTATGACTCTCCAGAAGATTTTGCAACACTGGACAAGAAGCTCAAGGAACATGAGGTATTGATATTGGGCTAAGCATTGTGATGGAATCAGATACCTAGTTTTTCAATATATGCTTGAAGGATATCGTACTTGTGCCTTTTCCTATGCAAATATATGTTTTTATATGTTAAGTTATCAATTTCTCGAGATGGTCTGATATGTCTTTTTGTCATTCACGATTGAAGATGAGTGTGTAA